GGTGTGGGAACCGCCACTCAGGCTGATGGCCGCGGGCCGGGTTTGGGGGTGTGGGTGCTGACTCCCTCCCTGGGCACGGCTCTCGTGGCCTTGCGTGTCCTCACCTTGGAAGAGTTTGTCTGGACGTGTTCTGTGCCGGGAATAAGGTCCACCTTTCGTCCGGCTGCAAAACCATCGCCGGGAGACCAGGGCCACACCGTGACCCTGGCCCCTCGTGTGGCCCCGAGTAGCCGCCCGCCGCTGCCCCAGTCCTGCGCCTGCAGCTTTGCCATCCCCAGAGCCACAGAAATGGAGTCATACAGAATGTGGCGTCTCCATCGGTCCGTGCCTTCACCAGCTGAGGAACGTTTTGGTCATGGCCAGGTTTGGGCGATTTCAGGGAAGGCTGTGAGCGTTTGCACCTGGGTTTGCTGCCGTTTCTCTGCCTCTCTGGGGTCGGCCCTGGCCTCGGTGGCCTGAGCAGGTCTTGCTCTCGCTCTCACTGCCGTGTGTGGGGCGGAGGGAGGGCAGTGGTGGGGGCTGCCTGGACATCTCTGGGCCTCAGGGAGGCCATCTGTCCCCTAGCTGTGCCCTGGCAACTTGGCCCTTCACGAGTATCCTTTTTTTCTCAGCTTTCATCTCTTTTCCCTAGAATTCAGCGTATGTTTTTTCTTGTTCTAAGTTGTTTTTTGGAGAAAGTGTTAGTCCAGCACCATGTGTTTCTCTGAGCTCCTTGGGAACAACCTATTTACCTATAAATGGCCCTGGTGGGCTTCGGAGTGGTTCCAGGTGGTGCCAGGTCCTACGTGTCCCTCACCACAGGCCTTTCCTCTCCACGCTCCTCTCCGATCACGTGGTCTGAGTGGTTTCTGTGACTGAGATGCGATTCATGGCCTTTCAAAGAGGCTTTAGCATCTTCACGAGTTTGTGGATCCGTCACCACTGTCCAATGCAGGACATGTTTGTCATCCCAGAAATCAATTCTCATCACCCCAAAAGAGAAAGGGATGGTTTTGTTTCCAGCTTGAGGCTTGTGAAGTATGGTTTTCGTGTCCTGTGTCCCGAGGGAGCCCTGTCTGCCTCTGCCCTGTGGTCTCTCAACCTTGTCGCGGAAGGGTCTGCGGTTCCACCCACTCTCCCGTCTCCACAAGTGTTCGGGGCCTGTCTCCCACGGTCCGAGCATCCCCACGTCCCTCCCTTATCTGGAAAGGGCCCAAGCCCTGGGCGCAGCTCACGGAGGTGGGCGCGATGTCTTTCATGCCGCTGAGCAGTGGTGTCTTCCCACACGAATCCCATGACTGGGGGGT